GATCAAGGCTTACGGTAGGATTTATAAGGCTTATAGGTGTTAGGGTATCTTAAGAGAGTTAGCATTTAAGAGTTGAAGGGTTAGATTACGCGCGCGGTTAAGTTAGGGTTAGGTTAGCGGGTGTCTTCCTGACACCCTCCAATTCGGATTTCCTTCGTAAGTGCTTGCGTTCAATGCTACGTGCTTTCGGAAGGCGGATTCAGAGGGGATGCACATATGTAAATCCTCAGGGGTGGAGATGTGTCATAGAGCGTGAAGTAAGCCTCGATCTCGTCGCTGAACAGCAGTTGATTAAAAGATCCTTACCATTGTCTGTTACGTGTTGTTATTTATTGCTGCAAGGGCAAGCTACCTGTTTGCCCCCAAGAGAGGCGACGCTTTATTTTACCGATTGCGTGTGTCACTGAGCAGTGAGTTCTGTATATGCACTTTCTCTCCTAAACGTTTGAAAAAAAAAAAAAATACCTAGAGATTACTATGGAAAGTTGCAGGGCGGGTCTAGTGCGAGGGTTCTCTCTTCAAATCCAGGAGACCTATGTTTTAAACAGAGCGACGTCTTCGATCTAGAATGAGGATTTTTTTTGTGTAACCCGTGTTACCTGCGATGGCGCTGAAGGTCGTCCGCCGCGCAGGCCAACCACGCTGGTACTTTATGCTACGGCAGGCCCCGTCTCAGCACAGCGTTTTGGTCTGTCCGCCAGCAAGATTCCGAGCGGAAATCTCACCGTCCTTAATCCTCCGTAGTCCAGCGATGCCACCTCTTCCCCTCAAAATATGAGGTTTTAGACTGGTCACGCATTGAATAAAAAGTTCTCAAAACTTCGCACGAATGAAGCGGAAAATCTCAGCCGCTGTCCCGCTAGATTAATCTCAAGATGCCCAGCATCATTCGTTTAGACAGAAGTTGGTATTCGAGAGATTCCGCTGCATCGTACGACATCTGTGTTGCTCCGAGGAGTCTTTGTAGACAGGGCTGTCTTTCGTGCATTTCCCCGCGGTTGCCCGCGGCGAACCAGTCGGCTTCTGTTGCACCTGTTGTACGATTGTCAATGAAAGTTTACTGAGTTGTTTTTTGCTTGTTTTTTGTTTTTTCTTGGATTTGGGGTTTTGCTTTGTTTGTGAGTGTTGAGCTGAGTATCTCGATGACGATATGGAGCGCTGCTCATCCAGGAAGTTGTCACCGTGGTTCGTTTGTGAAACCGGAAATGACTGCTCGTTTCTCTCTGCCGTTTAGCAGTCGAGCGCACTCTCCTGCGAAAATAGAAGTGATAGTCGGGGTGAAGCCAAGCCCGGGCCGCCGGCGACCAGGACCCTAACACCGCGCCGAAGCTCTCCAGAAAGACACCTGCCCGCGGCAAGGGAGCGCGAGCTTTTGTAGGGTCTCCGTGTCTAAGTCTAAATCTCGAGATGCGCTTTGCCTGCTCACCTCTGTGGCAGGACCGTGTTTGACTACACGATGAGCTTGACCCTCCCGGTGGGACCTCGCGCCGCGGCTCTCCACGCCTTGGTCCCGTGAGTGAAAGCGCTGACCGGACCAATGCGCCCCGTAATTCAAACTACAGCCCCGGCCGCCAAGGGTGCCCCACCCGCCGAAACCCTCGGCCGGGTTCCACAAATGGCGTGTCCTTGAACAGCGTCTGAGACCTTGCACGACAGCTTTGACCTTCTTTATTGTGGGATTATTAGTATTACTAAGCTAGAGAGAGGGCCTCCGTCGCTATCTCGCTTAGAGCGTCTCTTGTCGATTCGAGGGAGCGAGTGATATTTTATTCATATCAGGAAAAGAAAAAGCAAATTTAGAAACCACATTTACTTTTTCTTTGAGCATAAATGCTTGCCCGCCCGCGAGTGATGAGAGAGAGAGCTGCAGCAAATTTGAGGTGGGCGAGCGCTCGTGAGTTCCCTTTCGCGGGGGGCTCAAGACGCGGGGTTACCAACCTAAGAGTCGGTCTCCATTCTGAGATTTGTTTGCTTGTGCGACCCTTTCTTTTTTTTGTACAGTTGTCCTGCCAATGGACAGGTATACTGCTCTACATCTAGTATATCTTCTCCATCCAGATACTCTCCTGCCATCCAGTATACTCTCTCATCCACACTCTTCTCATCCACGATACTCTGCGTCCATCCAGATACTCTCCCCCGATCCAGATACTCTCTCCATCCACACTCGTCTCACCAGATACTCTTCTCCCATCCAGAAACTCCGTCCATCACACTCTTCTCTCCAGTGATACTCGCTTCTCCATCCAGGATACTTTCCCCATCCACACTCTTCTCATCCAGGATACTCGTCTCCTCCAGGATACTCTCCTCCATCCACACTCTTCTGCATCCAGATACTCTCCTCCATCCGAATACTCTTCTCCATCCAGAACTCTTCTCCATCCAGATACCCCATATCCAGATACTCTTCTCCATCCATGATACTCTTCTCCATCCAGGACTACTCTCCGCATCCAGATACTCTTCTCCATCCAGGATACTCTTCTCCATCCAGATACTTCCTCCATCCCACCTTCTTCTCATCAGATACTCTCCTCCATCCAGTACGTCTCCTCCGTCCAGATACTCTCTCCATCCAGGATACTCTTCTCCATCAGATACTTCCCCATATCGCAGATACCTCTTCTCATCCAGATACTCTTCTCGCATCCAGGATACTCTTCTGCCAGTCCAGATACTCGCCCGATATCCAGATACGCGCCTCAAGAGTACCGTCCGCCGACACACTGCATCCAGAACTCTTCTCCATCCAGATACTCTCCTCCATCCACCTCTTCTCATAGACTCTCCTCCACTCCAGATATTACTGGCTTCTCCATCCAGATACCCCCATATCCAGCTACTGCTCCTCCATCCAGGATACGCTCCTCCATTCCAGATACTCCCCATATCCAGAACTCTTCTCGCATGCCAGATACTCTCCTCACAGAGCCACAGAACGACTCCACAGTCGCGCACAGATGCAGGATACTCCTCCACTCCAGAAACTCTCTCCATCCTCAAGATACTTTCCCCCATATCCAGATAACTTTCCTTTCGCCATCCGATACTCTCCTCATCCAGATACTCCCGCATATCCAGATACTCTCCTTCCATCCAGATACTCCCTCCATCCAGATAGCTCTCCTGCCTCCAGATACTCTCCTCTCATCCAGAGTACTCCCCGATCCAGAGACTCTCTTCTATCCATGATACTCTTCCCACCAGATATTACTCTTCCATCCAAATCGCTCCATGCCAGATACTCTGTCTCCATCCAGATACGTCCCCAGTATCCAGATACTATCTCCTCCATCCAGATATCCCCATATCCAAAGATACTCTCCGATCCAGATATCTCCCTCCATCCAGATACTCCCCATATCCAGGTATACTCTCTTTTATGCCAGATACTTTCTCATCAGATGACTCCCCGTATCCCGGGATACTCTCCTCCATCCACGATACTCTTCTCCATCCAGGATACCCCCGTATCCAGATGACTCTCGTTCTATCCAGATACTCTTTTCTCCATCCAGATGATTTCTCTTCCATCCAAATGCCTCGCCAAGCCAGAACTCTCCTCCACCAGGATACTCTCCTCCATCCAGATACTCTCTCATCCGATACTCGTTCTCCATCCAGATACTCGATATCCAGATACGTCTCCTCCGGATGGAGAAGAGTATCTGGATGGAGGAGAGTATCTGGATGGAGGAGAGTATCTGGATGGAGGAGAGTATCTGGATAGAGCAGAGTATCTGGATGTAGAGGAGTATCTGTCCCCATGTGGCAGGACAACTGTAAAAAAAAAAAGAAAGGGTCCAAAGCAAAAGTCTCAGAAATGGAGAACCAGCACTTAGGTTGGTAACGTGTCTTGGAGCCCCAGGAAAGGGAACTCAGAGGGCTCCCCACTAATTTCTGCAGCCTTTTTCAAAATACACGCCCGGGGCAAAGCATTTATGTAAAAAAAAAAAAAAAAAAAAGTATGTGGTTTCTAAATTTGTTTTTCTTTTCCTGATATGAAAAAATATATGTCCTCGCAAATGAAAGAGGTCTTAAGGAGAAGCGACGGAAGGCTTACCTTCTATTTAATAGTAATAATAATAATAATGATAAAAAAGGTCAATGCTGTCGTGGAAGTCTCAGACGTGTTCAAGGCACACGCCATTTGTGAACGGCCGAGGGTTTGGGGTCGGGGCACCTTGGCAGGGCTGATATTTGAGTTACGGGGGGGGGACTTGGTCACGGTCAGGCTTTCACATCACACGGGACACCCCCCGCAAGGGCCGTGGAGAGCGCGGCGCGAGTCCCCACCGGGAGGTCAAGCTCATCGTTAGTAAACACGGTCTGCCCAGAGGTGACAGGCGAAGCGCATCTGGAGATTAACACGGAGAACCTACAAAAGGCCTCGCCCTCTCTGCCCGCCGCGGGCAGGTGTCCTTTCTGGGAGGAGCTTCGGGCAGGTGTTAGGGTCCTGTCGCCGGCGGCCGGGCTGCTTCCCCCGACTATCACCTTCTATTTCTCCAGGAGAGTGTGCTGAACTGTAAACGGCAGAGAGAAACGAGAGTCATTTCCGGTTCCACAAACAGACCCACGGGGACAAGCTTCCTGGAGTGAGCACGCTCCATTTCCGTATCAGATAACTCAGCTCAAACTCACCGCCAAGAAAAGCAAAACCCCAAATCAAAAACAAAAAAAACAAAAAACAACTCAGTAAATTTCACTGAACGATCCCGTACACAGCTAGAAAGAAATGGTTACCGCGGGAAACCGGGAAAGACAACGAAAGAAGGCACTCTCTATCAAAGACTTCTCGGAGACAACAACAGATGTCTACGATGCACGGAATTTCAGAATAAATTTTCTAACGAAATGATGTGGTATCTGAGATTAATCTACAGGGAAGCGGGGCTGAGATTTCCGCTTCATTCACGTGAAGTTTTAGAACTTTTTTTCACGCGCGTGACAGTCCTAAAACTATATTTTGGAGGGAGAAGGTGGGATTTGGATAGGAGGATTAAGGACGGTGAGATTTCCCCTCGGAATTTGCTGGCGGGAAGAACAAACCCATTGCTGAGATGGGGCCCTGCCGGTAGATAAATACCAGCGTGTTGGCCATGCGGCAGGACGGGGACTTCACCGATGCAACGGTAGACACGGTTAAAAAAAAATCTCCCTTCTAGATTGAAGACAGTCGCTCCTTTTAAACATAGTTCCTGGATTTGAAGAGAGACCCTCAACTAGACCTGAACTTTCCATATACATCTCTAGTTTTTTTTTTTTTAATTCAAAAGAGTTTAGAAAATTGCATTACAAACTCATGTCAATGACACAGCCAGTCTCGATGAAAATAACGCCTCTCTCTTGGGGGGAAACAGGTAGTGGCACCTGCACAATAAAATAAAAACACGTAAAGAAACTGTAGTTTTGTAAAATTCAATTACTGTGTTCAGGAGAGATGCCAGGCTATTTGTAGGTCTTCTATGAAATCTCCAACCTGAGGACTTATAATGTCATCTCCACTGAATTCCCCTTGAAAAGCAAACTAGACATTAAAGGAAACACCCTTAAGCCGCAGAAATTTCCCAAATTGGAGGGTGTAGGAAAGACATCCTAACCTAAACCTAACCGTTAATGCTAACTCTAACCCTTAATCCTTAGAGCTAACACTTAATGATTACCCCTAACAACAACCTTTTAAACCTTAATAACTGCTAAACTGTAACCCTTGATCCCGTAAACCCTTAAACCTAGCCCTAACCCTTAACCCTTAGCGATAACCCGAACCCTTATCTTTCAAAACTAACTCTTAATGATAACCCTAATCCCTTAAACCTTCTACCCCTAACCATTAACCCTAACCCTAACCCTGATCCTAAACCCTGTTAACCCTAGTCTAATCCTTAACCCTAATCACCTGATCCTAAAACCCTTAACCCTAGCTCTAAACCCTTTAACCCTAAACCCTCCCTAACCCTAACCCTTAACCCTTAATCCTAACCCTGATCCTAAACCCTGTAACCCAAGTCTACAACCCTTAGCCGTACTCCTACACCTTAACCCTAACACTCTAAGCCCTAACCTTAACCCTTAACCTTAACCCTAACCCTAACCCTAACCCTGACGCCGGGTGCATAGGCAAAAGGAACACAAGGGAAACGCTCCCCGTCCACCCCGTGCTTACCAGCCGGCTCCGCGTTGGTGTTCCGGTGGTTCTGCAGGTCCACCTCGCCTTGTTCCGCTGGAAGCGAGAGAAAAAGACCCGGAGAAGCTCAGTACGGCAGACGCCACCCCCCGTGGAGTGCACACAGAGCACATTCCGGGGTTCCCAAGGCTGACGCTCCTAGCTCTGTCTGGGGCCAGAGGTCTCCACCCTGAAACCCAGGGCCCTCCGTGGACCCCTCGTGGATCCCAGCGCTCATGAGCGAGGACTTGCTGGGGCTCTTTCCACGGGCGGCCCAAGGATTGAGAGAACCCAGCTTTTGTTTCTCTCTATTTTAACGGTTGCACGTGGAGATCCCTCTCTTACTAAACGATGCCGTCTCTGTGAACACAAGATGCTCACTTCCGTCTGCCTGCCCTCCAAGCTCATCAAAAAAATAAATAGTAACGATCCATGAAGGCAATCTCCGCAGACTGGCGTCTTTTCAGCACCTAGAACTGAAAAGGGGATGTGCTTTTTCCTCTTCCACCCTGAATCTAGCATCGTGCCAGGAAGTGGAGTTGGAGGAGGAGGAGGAGGAGGAGAGGGATGGAGTTTCGGACCACTAAGGGCTGCCCCGGCCATCACCGGAGCACCACGGGGTGTCTTGCAGCCTGGTGGGCTTCTTCACCCAGCATGACCCCCCACACACACACACCCCGCTCCACGGCGTCTCTTGTTTTCATTTCCACGCCTCTATTTCACAATCTTTCAAACGTGCCCCGGACGCAAACGCAGTGATCTCCCCAAATGCGCTCGGAGTAGCTTCCCTCCCGACTCGCAGCTTAAGCCGACGGAATTCGAAACGGGTTTAAGAGATGCACAGACAAAATGCGTTTATTTCTTCCCAGCGTGGTTGGGAAGGCGCCCGGGGCTTGCAACCAGCCCACGCTCACGGAATGGGTGGCCACGCTTCGCCCGCTCACGAGACTTTCACATTTGCAAAACCGTGCCATCCGTGGTCCGATAAACGCGTGTGCGTGTGCGCGTGGTACAGTCGCACGACCTTCCGTGACGAGATGTGCATGAAACCGATTGCGTGGTCGGAAACCGGTCTACCCGACCCAGTGCACGACAGCTGCATGAAGACGCCACAGTCGTAAGATTATTTAAAAAAAAAAAAAGAAAGAAAGAGAGAGAGAGCCAAAGACGTGAGTGTTCAGAAAGGTCTGTGAAAATGTCAGTCACAAATGCCATGTGTCCTGCAGGCAGAAGACGGTTAACACAGGTGAGAAATTTGCAATTTGCAGTCATTTCAGAGGTGAAAGAATTTCTCCCTACAAAAAAAAAAAAAAAAGAGCAAGCAAATGCTCAAAATAAAAAGGCAGAAAGATACTATTTTTACTCTTTCAATGTTATGAAACATTATATAAAATCTGGCTACTTTTAAGGTGGGAGGGAAAAAGTCCACAGAAAACAAGAAAATGTCACAAGAGCAAAGCTAGCTGGGGCAAGAGTTCCAACACCCGGACCCCTCAGGAGGAGAACGGCATGCTTAGGAGGCACCACCACCCCGCCAGCCCCCGCCGCCCTGGGTCATCCTCCCGTCAAAACTTAGAGCACCTAGCACGCCGCGTCTTAGAATCCAACTTAGAGCGATTCTCAGGGATTTTTCTTTTTTATTTCAGCATATTATGGGGATACAAATGCTTAGGTTACAATATTGCCCATGCCCTGCCCAAGTCAGAGCTTCAAGTGTGTCCATCCCCCAGGCAGTACGCACCAAACCCATTAGGAGTGTATATATGCCCATCCCCTCCTGCCCCCTGCCACCTGCCCAACACACAATGAATGTTCTTACTATACGTGCACTTAGGTGTTGATCGGCTAAAACCAATTTGATGATGAGTATGCGGAGAGAGAGGAACACTCCTACACTGCTGGTGGGACTGCAAACTAGTGCAACCTCTGTGGAAAGTAGTATGGAGATACCTCAAAGAGATACAAGTCGATCTACCATTGGATCCAGCAATCCCACTACTGGGCATCTACCCAAAGGAACAAAAAAAAAAAAGACATTCTATGATAAAGACACCTGCACTCGAATGTTTATAGCAGCACAGTTCACAACTACAAAGAGGTGGAAGCAACCCAAGTGCCCATCCATGCGTGAGTGGATTAATAACATGTGGTCTATGCACACCATGGAGTTCTGCTCAGCCACAAAACACAACGGTGATCTAGCACCTCTTGTGTTACCCTGGATGGAGCTGGAGCCCATTCTACTAAGTGAAGTGTCCCAAGGATGGAAAAACAAGCACCACATGGACTCTCAGGGTTTTTTTTAAAGGGTGATAACCATCTGTAGCTGTTGGAACAGTCTAGCAAAGCCATGGGGTTGTAACGGGTGGCTATGCTCCGTGAACACACACACACATACATGCACACACACATACACACGCATTTGCATGACACGCACTTGGGACCAATCTGCAGTCCACACCCAGCGACCACTGCCACCGGTACTCTTTTCTGTTTGAGCACAGGTAGGGCTGATGTTTTGGGACACACACAGGGATCCGACTCGGACTTATTCCTGGGATCGCTGGGAACAGGCTGCATCGGATCAGAAGTGAGAAACCTTCAGACACGTCCTTCCAAGAGAAGGAGACCACGTCCCCCCACCCGGAGTCAGTATTTGGGGCTCGCATCACGATGAAATCACCGGTCCCAGCCTGAACCACCACTCCGCCACGAGAGAGCGAAAGAGGTTACGCTTCATTCCTGTGAGAGGTGGGAATAAGAAAAGTGAAGGGAATGAGAAACAAAAAAGAAATTAAGAAACAAGAAATAATAAAAGGAAAGACACGAGAAAAAAAAACAAGATGTAAGTAATACGTAAAAGATATAATAAAGGAAAAGAAAGAAAGAAGAAAAATAAGAAATAAGAAGAGTAAAGGAAATGAAAAAGAAATAAGAAGAAATGAATAGATAATAAGTAAAAGAAATAAGAATAAAGAAAATAAATGAGAAAAGATAACAAGTAAAAGAAATAAAAAAGGCCAGACATAAGAAAAAAAAGACACAATAAGCAAAAGAAAGAATTAAGAAAAAAGAAAATAAGAACTAAGAAAAAAAAACAAGAAAAGTAAAACAAATATAAAAGTAAAGAATAAGAAAAAATAATGAATAAATAATCAGTAAAGGAAATCAAAAGAAAAATAAGGAAAGTAAAAGAAATAAAAAGGGAAAGAAATAGGAAAAAAATAACTAATAAGTAAAACAAATAAGAACAAAGAAAAAGTAAATAAAAAATAAGATAGAAAAAGAAAGAAAAAAGAAGAAAACGAGGAAAAACAAGAAAAGCAAAAGAAAGATGACAAAGTAAAAAGAAAACAAGAAGAAATAAGTAAAAGAAAGCAAGAATAAAGAAATAAGAAAAAAAAAGTACGAAATAAGAGAAGTTAAAAAAAGAAGACTGGTGCCCGAGAGCAGAGGGTGGCATTGGGAAGGGAGGAACAGCAGGTGTGACACGCACCTGTCAGGAGGACCCCAGGACACCTTGCCCAGGTGTGAGGAGCACCTGCCCGCCCACCCATGCCGCACAGACCTTAAGAGGAGAAGCCCGTGAGCTCACACACGTGCACACACACACACACACACACACACACACACACATATATATTTTTCCCCTAGGAACCGAGGCGGGTAACCATTTGCACAAACAGACGAGAGGCAGAGCTGAGAACGGCTGCCCTACGGGAAACGGAGAGAGACAGAGACGCAGCGTGGAATCCCACCAGGGGTCTGTCCCCTCACCTTCCTTTCCTGCAAAGCAACCCCGCACTGAGCCCGGATCTTTTTGCCGCAGAGAATGGGTGGCCGCCGGCCGGTTCCCTGCTCAGGGATAGACTCGTGGGGACAAACGTCACCCACACGGGGAAGCCGCCCACCCCGTTTCTTTATGCTGCATTTACGTTTACGAGAACACATCCGCATTTCTCCTCGCTGACCGAGGCCACCTGTGCAGTGGCACAGCGAAAAACGACATGACCGAACGCAAGGAGCCTCCGTGCGCCGAGAGGGGGCGGGCACGTGGACCCGAGGCGTGGCGTGTGCGTCCGGTGGTGACCGCGGCAGGAGGAGGGTGACGGGTGCAGGGGCTGCGTCCTGGGAGACAAGCGGTTAGCGTCAGGGCGCTGTCGGCTCGCACACGGCTCCCGGTCACGCCTAGGTCTTCTATGCACCTGGAACGGCAGGGTGGAAGAGAAAAGGAAGACAGAATAAAAGTAAAACTCGGGACAGGTCCGGTGTTGGGTGTTGGCCGGGCATGGGCCAGGGCGGGAAGGGTAGAAAAGCCATGCTCGGGCGCAAGGAGGGGAGATGAGGGAAGGAGGGAGAGGGAAAGGAAGGAAGGAGGCGAGGGAAAGGAGGAAGAGGAAGGAGGGAGGAGACCGGGTGGGCCGAGGGAGGAAGAGAGGGAAGAAGGATGGAGAGAAAGGGGAAGGAAGGGACAGAAGAAGGAAGGAAGGAGGAAGGAGGGGGAAGCGGAACGAGGGGAAGGAGAGGGAGGAAGGGAGGAAGAGGAGTAAAGGGGAGGAAGAGAGGACGGGGAGAAAGGAGGCAGGGCACGACAGGAAGAGAAGGAGGAAATGAAGGGATAGAAGGAAGGAAGGAAGAGAGGGAGGAAGGAGGGGAGGAGAAGGAGGAAAGGACAGGTAGAGGAAGGAAGGGAAAGAGGAAGGAGAGAGGAGAAGGAAGGAAAGGGGAAGGAGACGAGAGGAGGGAGGAGTGAGAGGAGGGAGGGAGGGGATTGAAAGGGGGAAGGAGGGAGAAGGAACAGAGGGAGGAGAGGGGAGGAGAGAGAGATGATGGACAGGAGGAAGGAAGGAAGAGTGAAAAGAGAGGGGAAGCAAGAAGAAGAGGGAGGAGGAGGAAGGATGGGAAAGAAGGAGGGAAGGAAGGAATCTAGAAGGATAAAAGAGAAAGTAAGGAAGGAGGAAATGGAAGGAAAAGAAATTAAGGAAGGACGAAGGGGAGGGAGTATATGGTAAGGAAGGAAGGAAGGGGAGGAGGGGAGGGAGAGGAAGCAAGTTGGT